AATTCAGTAGAGTTCTCTTGTTGTTACTGAAGCAAGACCAAGAAATCATGGGACATTCATTAGATGCCATAGGTAATTCAAATATAGTTGTTCAAAGTCACAATCCAAAGTGATGCAGGCTAACAAAGAAAAACATTTGCAGGCATGACAGGCAGTGATTAGGAGTTTATCACTAAAAACTGACACTTGGAGGAGGATCTAAACAAAACATCATGATAGCTGGTGAGCAGAAAACAATGCACCAAAAACTGAATGAAGAGGAAAGCAAGAAACTTAAAGTCTGAATCTGTTGCAAAATAGTGATAATATCAGGGTATTAGGGGCAAAAACAAGGGTGTAAGCATGGTCTGTACAAAACCCACCAGGCAGGTTGCATGTTACCAAGGATAACACTTCTGGGACCCAAGACATATTCTGAATTCTAACATGGGAAAAGCCCATGCCTTTCTGACTTCTAAACAGGATTCTCTTTAATTGTCTTCCAAACTCTGAAATTCAGAGCTTATCTGACCTCATGAAAGGACTGCATTATGTACCTGCAAGCAAGGCCAAAAGTTTTCTAAAGGAGGTAGTCTTTTAATTATTCAAATACTTAAAGTACTCCAAGTCCTAGAGCTCTGTCACATACAGAATCAAAGAAGTCTGCCAGACACAAAACAAGCAGATAGAAAAATGACATTCGTACAAGGAAATTAACTCTTCAGAGCTTTCAGGCTCTGGAATAGTAGAAAAGAACTAATTAGTCTCTAGAAGGGAGAATAATTTACTGCTTAGTTCCCAGAACAGTAATTTCTAAATCACCTTCCAGTGAGTTTTTCTCCCAACATCCAGTGAAATTTTAGGATAACTTTCTTATTAATTTTGTTCTGAAATTTTTCTTTTTTAAATTAAGGAACAGTTGTATACACAAAACTGGAGACATACGTGAGCACAAGAATCAACATATAAGATTTCACATGTGCTATTTTTAATTACTGGTAACCTGTAAACAATTGATTAACAGAAATGGGCTGCTATACAATATTATTTAAAGAAAATATTAAAATGGAATATTTCATAGCTATGTTCCTATAGAAAAAAATCAAGTTCATTAAGATATGAATTTTAATGCAAAGCAATTTTCTATAAAGAAGCAATAAAAGGATGGTTTGATTATAAACTCTATTACCTGTTCTACATGGTTGTTGTACTTTTTATTTAAGATGTGAAATTTAATTGCAAAATGTAGACAATGAGTAATACTTTATGTAGAGTAAAAGTGAGTTTGATTGGTAAGGAACCTGTGCAAATGGTGGTTTTTCTAAGGCTAGAAGCCAGGGGCTTTGGCAAGTGATAGAGTCAGTAAGGATCAAGGTTACTGGTAGCACACTGTTATGCTTGTTTGATCACTATCAGACTGAGAGTGCGGGCCTGAGCTGGGTCACAGTCTCTTTGAGGACAGCATCTAGTAAATTTGCCTCTAAAAAGCAAGGCTTCAAACTGGTTTGTTCTGGGCTGACACCCGCTGAGAATTTGCATTTTCGCCCCAGGCAGCATAGTGCCTAAGGCACTTGACTGCTAACCAGAAGGCTGGCGGTTCAAACCCACCAGCCACTCCTTGGAAGGAAGGTTGGGCAATCCTACTTCCGTAGTGATACGGCCTCGGAAACCCAAGGAGGGGTCACTATGACTCGGGGCCGACTCGACGGCACATAACAACGACAACAACATACTGAAAGAGCATAACAAGATCCCCAAGTGATTCCTACACACACATAAGCAGCACCTCAGAATTTATAAGAAACATCTGGGGATCTTGTTAAACTGTGGCTTCTGATTCAGCACAGCTGGGTTGGAACCAGGAAGGAACTGGTTCGAAGCCTTGGTAAAAAGGCCTGAAACAACTGTTCCCTCACCATAGGCAGTTTTTTTTATCTCTAAACTGCTCTCACCCTTTTAGGGATTAAAATATCAAGGTACATAAGGATACGCTTTGATTTCCAAGAAAGGAGACTGTTTTTCTAATTCTCTAAAGAACCACTGCTGCCTTTACTTTGTATGAGTTTTACTTCCTCTGGGTTTGGAGGATTCAGGTTTCCAAAAATTTATAAAATATCAAACCTACAGAAAAAGTGCAATGAGCATCTGTACACCCATTATTTAGATTCACCCACTATTCCTGTTTTGCCACCTTCACTGTATACTTGTCCCTCCCTCTCTCCCCGCCCCCACACACTCTTATTACTGTCCATAAATCATAGAAGATTTATCCCTTCACCCCTAAATGCTTCAGCACATGCTTCTAAAGCACAAGATACGCTTTATATAACCACAATAAGCAAATGCAGTACATTTAACATTGAGACAATATTGTTATATAGTTGATATTGAAACCTCAACAATTGTGCAACAACTATCCTTTATAGCATTTTTTTTCCTGTTCCAGTCAGTATCCAACTAAGGATGAGGCACTGCAATTATTTGTCATGACCCTTTAGTTTCATTTATTCTGGAATAGTTCCTCAACCATTTTTGTCATTCATGATGTTGACATATTTTGAAATGACCAGGACACCTGTCTGAGTGTATTGTATCTTCACTAAAATTAGGAATTTTTGGTAAGAATATTACATAAGTGATTTTGTGTTCCTCTCAGTGCTTCGGCTCTCCAGACTGTTCCATTAGTGGTGATACTAACTTTGATGACTCGGTAACTGAAGCTTCCACCAGGTTTATTAACTTTTAAAGTTAATAAATAATCTGTGGGAGACATTTTGAGACCTGCAAATATCCTGTTCCCTACCCATCTTTCACCCAATGGTTTTAGCATCCATTGAGGATTCTTCTGTGAATCAACTATTACCATGGTGTTTGTATAAAGCAGTAGTAGGAACTTTCCTTTGGGAATAATGCATATATTTTCCACATATCATCAAAAGGGACCAATTTTCTATATATTTAACATATATTAGGAATTCATTGTTTCTTTAGGCTCATTCAATCCGGGTCATTTCCAGATACTCACATTACCATACAGAGGTGGTCATGAGCTCCTTCCTTGTATTGTTGTGGGCCTTGCTGCAGAAATACTCCTGTTCTCCCATCTGTATTTAAACCACCCTGTTACTATGATTGAAAAACCAAAATCACATCCATCGCCGTCCAGTTGATGTGGACCCAAAACAAGCCTGTAGGACAGAGCAGAACTGCCCCATACGGTTTCCAAGGCTGTAATCTTTACAGAAGCTGATTGCCACATCTTCTTCCCACTGAGTGGCTGGTGGGTTTGAACAGCTGAATTTTTGCTGAGCAGCTGAGCCCTTAACCACTGCACCACCTGTGCCTGGAATTATTATCAGTCCTGACTAATCTCTGATTTTCCAAAGATCAATTACTTGGCTTCTCCACAGGTGCCCACTCCCTCAGCCTCATCTGTCACAGCCGCTTCCTGCACCCACTTTACGTTCCAGCACTGCTAAGTCCAGAATTACGGTTCTCACACCTCTGTGATTCTGCACTGGGTAGCCACTGCCCCTTCAAATCGGCTCCTTGCTCTCCAGCCCGGGTCTTTCAAGGACCTTCATATCATGTGCGAAATCTTGCCTGATCTTTACATACCTTTTTATATGTAGGTTCATGACATAAAATTACTTGTTTTCTATTCCAAAAGTTATGTCTAAATTAACTTAAAAGTTTACACCATTCTTGGCACATGAGATTCCTAAAAATAAATGTTTGCTGATAAATAAATTAATGAATTTCAACTCAAAAGCATTTTTTTGAGGGGGTCCCATTTTGGAAAGCTGGATAATGAATAAAGAATACTGAAGAAGAACTGATGCTTTTGAATTATAGTTCTGGTGAAGAATACTCAATATACCAAGAACTGCCGAAATGAAAAAATCTGTCTTGGAAGAAGTACAGTTGGAATGCTCCTTAGAAGCTAGGATGGAGCGACTTCATCTCTCATACTTCGGTCATGTTATTAGGAGGGACAAGTCCCTGGAGAAGCATAGCACGCTTGGTAATGTAGGAGGTCAGCAAAAAGAGGAAGACCCTCAACGAGACAGACTGACACAGTGGCTGCAACAATGGACTCCAACATAGCAACGATAGTGAGGATTGTTCAGGGCCAGGCAGTGTGTCATTCTCTTGTACATATGTTGACTACGAGTTAGAACTGACTTGATGGCACTAACAACAAAAACAACCTAGATAGTTCATTCTTTGTCCAGTAAATGTTAACAGTTCTGATGCTTTTAAATCTTACGGATGTGGGGTCTGTGTGTGTACACACACATAATATATGTATACTGGAGAAAAAGACAGAAAAATATAAAAGTAACATGAGCTGATAAAAGAAGATAAAGTGCTGTGGACCCTGAAGAAAACCTGAAACCTTAAAGACAATTATGGAGATTATCTTTAAATTGGTGACATGCCAAAGTCTGGGTCAGAAGGAAAAGCCTGAGAATACCTGATCTTTTTTTATGTTTAAGTAAAACTAATCACAAGCATTTTGCTATATTAGACAATTTAAATGTTTCATTAAAATGTTTTACAAAGAAGTTACTGAAGTTTAAAAAAATTTTACTGTAACATTTTATTCTAAAAATCCATCTATTATATACAGTATATTTGGTGATACATGGTAGTTGATGTTCTGCAAAATTTTTTTTTCTTTTTTTGCAGTGTTACAGAGACAAGCTTAAATTCATTGTGGAATCTAAATTCCCTTCTTTATGTTTTATACATTAATCACCCTTATGTTTTTAGAGCTATATGAAGTAAAAATCAAAGAGGGGACCATTATGAATAGGAAGTCTTGAAAACATAAGAAAATACAGAATACTTTAATCACTGCTCACCCACACCTAACCCCCATCTCTCTCCACTCTTCTTGCTATATTATATACAATATCCCTTTTAATAACATGGAATTTATAATGGAAATGTTAGATGATTGTAAATAGAACTAATAAGGTGACAAATGCTCTAAGACTGGTTTTCAACTCCGGGGCAATGTCTGGAGACAGCTACTACTGATACCTACTACTGACATGGATAGAGGCCAGGATGCTGGTAAACATCCCACAAAGCACAGAATAGCCCACCAAAAAGAAAGCACTATCCAAATGTCAATAGTTCAGAGTTGAGGAATTCTATTCAAAGAGACAATGTCCAAGGTTGCCTTTAACAGCTGACATTAGGAAGTAATACCCGGGGTTAATCTTTTAAGCTGTGCATGAGCCACTTATATATCCAGCACACGGTTCTCTGGACTCCTTTGGAAAATGATTTGTCTGGGAATGTTCTGTTTAGTTTCACATGGTTAAAAGTGCTTTCTTGGAGTGGACAACTCATCCTGAACCATGTCAAATTTTCAAGGTACTTCTCTTGTTTACACAGCTTTGCATATGAGCAGATGTGCCTTAAAGGATCAGAGATACATCAATTAATTCACTATGCATTGAATTATATATAAAAGTTTATTAGTAAATGATTATGAATTTAGTCAACGATATTTTAAATATCTTGGTATACTTAATGTTTTAAAATGGTATTGATACTTTTCAGTGGCTAGAATTTCATGTGAAAATTAATTTCATTTTTTATAAATAAAACTACATACAAATCTCTTTCATTGTGCTTGTCAAAATTTTATTTTAGTACTGATAATTCATGATGTGGGAATAAAATAATAGCAACTTTGATTTTAATAACTTTTCCTATTTTTAGCACTTCTGGTCTGACAGACACTACTCTCTCAATTTTTCTTGCTTAAAAAAAAAAAGACAAAAAACATAAACTCACCTGTTTGCATCTTTTTGCCTTTTTTTTCTTTTTAAACAAAAAACCACTGTTTCCATCAAATTGATTCTAACTCATAGTGACTCTACAGGACAGGACAGAAGAAAATTGTCCCAAAGGGTTTCCAAGGCTGTAATATTTACAGAAGCAGACTGCCACATCTTTCTCCTGCAGAGCAGCTGGTAGATTTGAACCACTGACCTTCTGGTTACCAGCGCAGTGCTTAACCACTGTGCCACCAGGGTTCCTTTTCCTTTCACCAATACATCCTTTTTAATATATTATGTTGTTCTGTAGTCCTATTTTCTAGTTTCTTTCAGCTTAGGCTTCTGATTCCTATTCTTTTTCTAATTCATTCTTTTCTACATATTTGATTCTCATGAGCTTAAATCATATGATGAGAAAATCAGAAGAACACTGATATTGCCTTTATTAACCAACAAAGGTAATAATTTTACTTAAGACTTTCCTTTTACATGTAATACTTTCCTACATTGGTCTTATTTTCTTTTTCTTTTTAATTTCATTTTCTCAGTATAGTATCTATTGTCATTCACTCATACATGACTAGAAGAATTGTATTTTAGAAACTAAATAATAATTATTTTATACCAATTGTGTATCCTTAGTAGTACATATGGGAGCTCTGGTAGCATAGTGGCTAAGGCACTTGACTGCTAACCAGAAAGCTGGCGGTTCAAACCCACCAGCCACTCCTCGGAAGGATGATGGGGCAATCTACTTCCGTAGTGAT